AATGATGTGATGATGACGCAGTTTATAAATAAACATGAAGAACAATGTTACAACATGATATTCCTGATTACATGTTAACCTAATAAAACTGCTATCCTAAAGCAAATATAAAGGAACATTCATAAAAATCTTTATGCAAAATAGAAGGAAATTTCACCTTTATGTACTCTTGAACTTGAACAGACTCAAATCCAGTGAAAAGCACAAAAGGGGTCCGTTCCGGTGGTAACTTCTTGGAGGGAGGTGGAATATCTTTGATTCTATGAAACACACATAGAAGAGAACAGCTATTACTTCCCTAATATGTTCCTTACCAAACAAAACATTTTAATTTTAACAGTGTTAAGAAGCTCTGAGAGCTTTACCTGTGTGTGGTTTTCTGTTCTTAAAGGGAAAGTGCAGTGACTCACCTGCTCTTTCTTTCCCACCATTTATACAAAGTCACCCCAAAGGACTCTCACCTGGCACCCCTAGGGGAAGGGCTGATCAGGCACCACCCCCCATCCCCCAGCCTGCACTGTCCCTGGGGGTCTGTGAGGGTGGAAGGGAGGGCTTCCAGGGCCCTCTGTGGTCCCCAGTCCCCCACCGTATCCGACAGGACCCATCTCACCCCAGAAGCTCTGACGCAGAGCAAAGCTAATCAACTCAAGCACACACTCTATATTAAACTTCTTTGCTTAAATTTGTTCAAGCCCTATTTTTAGCTTATATTTGAGACAGTCTATGAAATAAAAAAATCTGTAGTGTTTTAATGATGTATATAATCACATAATTAGGCTTTTGCTAAAGAATCCAACAATCCCCGGATTGGGTGGCTGTGGGGACTAAAAGGAGGGGACTGAGGAACAGGGAAGAGACAAAGACCCTCACTCAATGCAGCTCAGAAGGTGTCTTGGTTCTAGTTAAACCACTGGCTTACCTTCACCAGGTGAGAACAGAACAAGTCTGACAACACCCCTGCCTCAGCCCCACAGAGGGGGCTCCATCCTCCATCCTGACCTGGGTCAGGGGTCAGACGTGGGCTCCCAGGCACACACTGAGGATGCCTAGAGCTTGGTTCCAATCCCCCTGCCCCTGTCCCACCACAGCAGCTCATTTCACACAGTGGGGGTTCTGGCAAGATAGAAAAAAGTTAAAACAGAAGATTGGACTTTTTTTAATAAGAAAGGAAAAGACACTGGCTATCCCCCATTTATCTCCAGTGATGAAACGAGAGATGTCATGATACAGCTGCAATGCAAGCAGCACATCCTTCCAAGTCCTGGTGGTTTAGTCGCTCAGTAGTGTCCAACTCTTTGTCACCCCATGGACTGTATCCTGCCCGACTCCTCTGTCCATGGGGATTCTCCAGGCAAGAATACTGGAGTGAGTAGCCATGCCTTCTTCCAGGGGATCTTCCCGACCCAGGGACTGAACCCATGTCTCATGTCACCTGAATTAGCAGGCGGGTTCCTTACCACTAGTGTCACCTGGAAAGCCCTTCCAAGTGAAAATCTTAGGAATTTCCCCAACTGCCACCATTTCCTAGGACAAACTCTAAGAGATTATCAATCATTAAAAACAAAAAAACAAAAAAAACACAAGGTGATTCTTCCTACCTGGCACTTTAGGAAGAAGGCTGGATATTAGTTACTTCATTCTGCTTTGGTTTGGGAGGTAGTCTTACACCCTGTAATGAACAGATGATTTACCTTAGTCAACCATCCCAGTAACACAGCAGCTTCTGAGCACTTTCTACCCATCTCACCACACACAAGAAACACTCCCCAAGGAACAACTGGCAGAGACCACGGGCACATGCAACTGTCCAGGGAGGCCCTGGCACTGGACACCCTCTCTATTCACCAGACCCAACAGTTCTTAAGATGTCTTCACCCCTCTCCTCGCACTTGTGATAGATTTAATCCTCAACCTTGAACTTTTCAAAACACGTTTTACTTCAAATATTTTATATCTCAATGGAATCTGGAAGACACAATGATTGCAATTACACCCCTCCAGAAAGACGGAGGTTCCCCTATGAGGGTGCAGGACGGTTGGGTCACAGGACACTGGAGGGGAAGGCAGGCCTCTGACGGCCACTGTGTGTCCCGGGCACAGCACCCATGCTCCTAAAACCAGCTGGAGGCCCTGACCTGTGGAGACGTGGAGCCCGCTAGGGAGCCGATATCCCCAAAGGCCCCCACAGCCAGCCTCGTACTGCAGCTACTGCCCATTCACACCTTCCTTGCCTCTAATGCAGACCTTCTTCCACAAGCACACTCATTTATATTCTACTATGGGGAGCAACCACCTCTTCATCTGAGATGAGGATGGAGATGACCCTCCCCCCACCAAGTGAAAGGCAGCCCTACCAGAGCTGCCTACCAACCAACCCCTGGCATTCCAGTGCAGAACAGCCCACCCTGAAGGCATCCCATCAGAGACTCCAGCCAGTGGCCTGGAAGTCCACCGCCACAGTGAAGCACTGCGGTCAGGGCTGACACTCTGGCGCCCCAGTTCCCACCTCCCAAACCCCATGGAAACACACGGTCTCCCTGTATTCTGCTCTGCAGTTCTGTAAGCAGTCACGTAGCTCTCTGAAGAAGTCATGGGGCTAATGTGTGTCACGTGAACACACGTGTAACTCCCAATATCATCAACGGAGAGGATAAAGACACAGGGTGCACTGAACAGCTTATGACAGGCGAGAAGATTCAGCCCTCATTGGACATGATGGCCAATTACTAAAAGAATTAGTTACAGATACAAACATATCCCTACTTCTTTGTAACACAGTAACAGCCACAGTAAGGTGACTAACATGACATACCATCAGCAACTCTGCTGACACTTTCAACGGAACTCTCCAAGGATCTGAAGAGAGAAACAGGTTACTTTTCAGAAACACTATGTACATAATGGAGCCCTTATCAATATAAAAGACCTTTCAGGACACACACACACTATTACAAAACAGGTTAACAATAAGGACCTGCCATATAGCACAGGGAACTCTACTCCATACTCTGTAATAGCTACGTGGGAAAAGAATCTTTAAAAAAAGTAGATATATGTACAAGTATGATTGATTCAGTTTGCTGCACACCTGAAACTAGCACATTATAAACCAACCATATCCCAATAAAAAAATTAAAATGGAAGTGTATTAATAATAACAGAAATGAGAAGGCTCTCCAGGTGTGGGTCATCTTGGACACGCAGTGGCTCGGGTGATTGCCTCCAACAAGGGGACGGTAAGGACTATTCCTGAGTTTACAGGGAAGCCTGGCAGGGGCCGAGACAAAGCTAAGCAAACCAGTAGCCTGTGGCCCAGTGCAGGCACCGCCCACCCGCATGTGCTGAACCCCAGACAGTTCCGGGAGTCCCATGGTCTGGCGTCCTAGAAACTGACTGTGAGGAGCACAGCACGTGGGGGCAGCAGCCCGGCTGGGCCCTCAAGGACACGTGTCCACTGAGGAAGGGCCTGGGGTCTGCACCACGGCTTCAGAGTGGACGTCATAACCAGGGCTGTCCCAGGGAAGCAGGCTGGCTGTGGCTCAAAGCCAGAAAGGGATTTCTTGCGACTGAGATCTCTAGGACCAGAACTGGATGGGCTCCTTCATGGGAGCACATGTTAAAGCAGCGTTCGAGCGACCACTTCCTGGAGTGACGCTCAGGTGGGTAAACGGGGTTAAGCGCCATCTGGTGTACAGTCAGGGCAGTGGGCCTTCCTCGGGATCTGTGCAGCACAAAGTTGGGGGCGGGGGGTGCCGTTTCTCACAGAGCAAGTTAAATGAGAGCTGGCTTGAAAGACAAGATCAAAAGGCTTTCTAGTGTTCCTTCCACTTCTGAGAGTCCATTAAAAAAAGCAAACAAAAATACAAGCCAACAAAACTTCTGGGTTCAGTGCAGTGGGAGACAGCGTGGAGAGGAAACAGGAGATGAGATAAAAACCAACATGACCCTGAAGCCAAGAGCAGTGTCTGGAGCCCCAGCCCACGGCCACAGGGAGTTGGCCTGCTTACCCAGAAGGTTCACCACCAGGTGTGGGGTCGGGGCGAAGGAGTCCTGCAGGCCGAAGGCGTGTAGCAGCCATACTGTGTCTGCTGCAGGACCTCGAAGTTCCCCAGCAGGATGTCCCCCAGCCACTTGACATTCACGCACGGGACCTGCCACTCTTTGGCTTTCTCGCACTTTAAACCAGTTGGTCTTTTTTGATTGGGGTCGGGGGGAGAGAAAACACATTCATTAGAGTTATCGGTGTTCAAATTTGTACTTCTGTTAACACACACCAGCCCACACTTGCTCGCACTGGACATGGCAGGGACAGTTCTGCAGAGCTGATTGGGCTGTAAGGAGGTGTCCATGTGATCATGAGGTCATTGCCCACCCTGCTTTCACCTCACCACTGTCACCTAATTTGACTGCAGCCTCCTTAATCGTATGATTTCATTCTTTTGCTAACATTATGACAAATATCACTGCCATTCTTTCAACAGACTCTGACGTCCACCATGGAACTCTGACAGACTGAGAGATGCAGAATGGCCCTGTGTGGGCCAAGACAGAACCCTGGCTGAGGAACCTGGAGCAGCACCTTGCGGCCTGAGATGGAACCCTGGCTGACTGAGGAACATGGAGTGGTCCTGCGCGGGCAGACAGAACCCCGTCTGACTGAGGGACCCAGACTGGCCCAAGAGAGAACCCTGGCTGAGGGACCCAGAGCAGTGCCTTGTGGGCCAAGACATGAACCACAGCTGACTGAGGGACCCTTAGAGGCCCTGTGAGGGCAGAGATGGAACCCTGGCTGACTGAGGGACCCGGAGCAGCCCTGTGCAGGCCGAGACAGAACCCTAGCTGACTGAGGGACCCCGAGAGGTCCCATGTGGGCTGAGACAGAACCCTGACTGACTGAGGGACCCTTAGAGGCCCTGTGTGGGCAGAGATGGAACCCTGGCTGACTGAGGGACCCAGAGTGGTGCCAAGCAGGCTGAGGGCGGACGTGGTGGTGGCTGCGTTTACTCTCTGCAGATGAGGATGGTGTTGCTGCGGCACAGGTAGCCCATGTACTTGGCACCTGCCAGGTATACCATTAGCTTAAGGTCATCCCTGTCGGTGTTGACAAACCCAGTCACGGAGATAATCTGGAAGGGAAAGGTCCAGTAAGGTCAAGATGTAATGATGGTTTAACCCAGTTAGTATGATTCTTTCTTCTCCCTGTTGGTTGTGCTACAGACACACATGTTTCCATTCCTCCTCCAGCATTGAGGGGCACTTGGCAACATCACCTCTGAGAATGCTGTCACTGCTGACAATGCTGCACATGAGACAGCAAGGGGGGACGGAAAGAAAACATACCAAATGGAGAATGCTTTCCTGTGTTAGCATGACACTGTCCTGATCATGTTAATGAAGTTATTTTACTAAGCCTATGAATATTGGTCACTTCTTCTTACTGATCCCGGTTTTGGGCTCATCTGACAGGGAGAACCGACAGGAGATGATGTCCGCCCAGCTGTGGCCACTTCTGGTGTCAGACGCTTAATTGTAAAGTGAAAGTGAAGTCGCTCAGTCATGTCTGACTCTGCGACCCTATGAACTGTAGCCCTCCAGGCTCCTCTGTCCATGGGATCTTCCAGAAAAGGATACTGCAGTGGGTTGCCATTTCCTTCTCCAGTGGATCTTCCTAACCCAGGGACTGAACCCAGGTCTCCTGCATTGCAGGCAGGAGCCAGCAGGGACTAGGCATTTATTAAACAGTGTCAAAGACTTGGGGGAACCTGTTAAATGTCAGTAAGCTGTGACTGTTACAGGGGGACAGAGAAGGAAACAATATGTTTATTCTTTTCAGGGAGGCAGGGAGAGCCTTACATGCTGGGAGCATGGCTTGTCCCCCAGCAGGAAGGCCAGTGGAAAGTGCAGGGCCCGATGGGGCGGCACCAGCTTCTTCAGGACCATGTTCAGCCAGTGCGCCGTGATGCACCTCTTCCTCTCCTTTATCGCCTGCAAACACAAGAATATGGGCTGGTCATTGGGGGCTTTACTGCAGGTGACATACAGAATTGTAAGACTGTGTAACTACATGGTCATTTTTACTGGAAGTCCAATAAATACAGGAATTTCAGGAGCTTAGCACTCAACTTACTAAATTAATAAACTACAACAGTGTCACAGATTAACTTGAAAACAACCTGAAACACAGGAACAAGAGCCAACCACGGGGAGGAAAGCTGACAGCCCAGGAAATGACTTTAATCATGGAAAGAGACGACGCTCCCGATCATCAGAATTCAAATTGCCCTGTGAGAATACGGCGAGTTATGAAAACGTAACTGCCCCTGAAGTTAACCACGGGATGACCCCTATGTGCTCTTCACCAGGCATCTCTCAGAGGCCATGTACCACATACACACTAACGGCAGTCAATGAACAAGAACCCATCAGAGAAGAACAGAAATAAGCCCTGAGGGGATGAGTGCAGGCCGCCCTGAGGGGGAGCTGCCTGTCAGCAGCTACGAGTGTCCCTGTTCCTGCCGCTCCATGCTCAGGTGGCCCTGCCAGGGCGGACAGTGTCCACCTCCCCCTCACTGGGAACCTGCCTTTCCTCCCCAGTCCTCACAGACAGAGAAGCCAGGGGCCAGAGGTGTCCACACGCTAAAGGTGGATGGAAACCAGTGAGAAGCATTTTCCTGTCTTCAGAGGTGGGAGAAAGACCTTTCCAAGCATGACTGTCCCAGCATCTCTCAGAGCCCCCCAGTCCCAGAAGAGCTGAGCCCTCACCTGTGTGAACAGCCCGCTGACCTGACTCTCGCAGAGCAGGTGGGTGCAGCGGCTCGAGAACATGGAGTCCACAGCTCCTCCATGTGTCTGGATGATCTGCACACACATGAGACCCACGGTCAGTCAGCTCCCACGCCCGGGGAAGAGGGACTTGTGATCTCCAGTCAGACAGCACTTCATGAGACCCACCATGTATGTACACAGTGTATTTCCCAAAGTGTGAACGAACTATCAGTTATATCTATGGGCTTTCCCACCCAGCACTACACAGCAAAAATGAACTCTAAGCCCCGTTTCATCTGAACTTCTGGAGGAAGAGTGGGATGCTCTCTTTCTAAGACAGGGTGCTGTGGACGTTTTAGATAAACCAGCTGATCTGAGCTGTGGGGCATCCCACGTCTCAGGGGGCTGGCTGCACCCCGACCCTCGCCCCAGGTGCCATGAGCACTTCCCCCGCTGGGAGAGCGAGAAAGGTTTCAGACATCGCCAACTGGTCCCTGGGGCCAGAAGCACTGCCTTTAAGAAACTTTATTCTAAAAAGAAAAAAGAAAGCAAAGTAAGATGAAGTTAAATTCAGTTTTTGAATTTCTGAATTTTTTGATACCGTCCTGTATCCCAATTTCAGTGGTTACACGGTTGTGTGGCACTGAGGGGAACACTGTTACCAAAAGGTGAGAACTTCCTGGGTTGGCAACAAAGTTCCTTTGATTTTTTTTAACTAAAAGACATATTTTTTATCTGCCCCAAGAACTTTACTGAACAAGGTATTCACTGTTTTGTTCCACTACCGTCTGCCATTTTTCAGGCAACTTCATAATTCCATTTTCCCAAGATTTTTTTTCTGAGCAAAGAACTCTTCCAGGTGCCTTTTAAAGTCTTCCAGACAATTTTTTTCCAGTATGGGAATTTTGTTAAGACCAAAATAAATGGAAATTCAAAGGTGCCATGTTTGGTGAATATGGTGGATGAATCAGAACTTTCCAGACAAGCTCGAACAGTTTTTGCCTGGTCATCAAACATCAACAAAACATGCGGTCTTGAGTTATCTTGATGGAAGAGTGTGAGTTTTCTGTTGGTTAATTCTGGGTGCTTTTCATCAAGGGCTGCTTTCAGATGGTCTAATCAGGAGGAGTACTTGTTGGAATTAATCATTTGTTTCTCCAGAAGGAGCTCACAACAGAGGACTCCCTTCCATTCCCTCCATATACACAATACCACCTTCTTTGGTGTGGTTGGTGGTAGTTCATTTCACTTGCCCCAAATCTCTTCTGTTCATTATTTTACAGTATCTTTTCATCACTGGTCACAATTTGTTTGAAAAACAAAATGTTTTTTGTTATGTTTCAGTAGAGAACTACATGTGGAAAAATAGTCAGGAAGGCTTTTTTTGCTTCTCTTTTGTGAAACCCAAACATCAAAGTAATGAACACAGCCAAGCTGGTACAATTCATTCTCAGGGATGGATTTGGATGTTCTGAGTATGTCGGCTATCTCACATGTGGTATAATGTTGACTGTTCTCAGCTAACATCTCGATTTGATCACTATCAACTTCAGTGGGTCTACCCAGCTGAGGGGCACCATCCAGCAAGAAACCTCCAGCAGGAAACTTTGCAAACCACTTCTGGCACGTTTGATCAGTCACAGCACTTTCTCCATACACTGGACAAAGCTCTCTATTTTTTTCTTTTCAGTTGTGTTTTTACCTTTCTTTAATTAATTAAGCATAATATGCCTGAAATATTCATTTGTTTCTTTTGTCTTCAATATTAAAATGGCTACACAGAAATTCACCGATTTTGATAACTGTTTAAAAGAATGCACACTGATAAGACAGCTGTCACAGAACAATCTAACAAAATTGTTTTGCATGAAGTTAAAGTCAATTAAGTGCTATCAGAGCCATCTTACAGTAAAAACAAATGAGCTTCTTGGCCAACCCACCGGTTATAGGCATAGGTACACGTGTATGTGTGTGTGCAGGTACATGTATCTCAGTGACCTCACCCTTTTCCAGGTGGCCAGCAGCTGCTTGTCAGACATCTGCTCTGGATAATCCACGATTGCAAACACACATCCCAGTAAGAAGCCTTCTTCTGGGACTAGAACAAAATTATACAAGGAAAATGAATTAGAACCCCCATTCTGTGAATGTGTGCACAAAACATGAAAAAGTTCAGAGTTTGATGTGAATTTATGAAGTTAGTCATGCTTTCCCATGATGTCTCCACCAGTAGTCTGAGGACCTCTGCAAAAGTTCCTACAAATACAGCTGCTACAAATGGAGTTACTCGATCACCAATATTACGTGATTCAAAACTGGGAACCACAAGAGTTTATGTCTGGGTGCCGAGTGCTCTGAGTGGTCCTTGAGACAGCCCACCATTCCAAGGACACCGGTGTTCACTTCAGGGTAGGGACGGAGGCCCAAACCACTGGAGAAACCTAACAATTCCTAACCATAGTTCCTATTTTCTAAGTATTACCCTGACATGAATCCTTAGCCTGCCCTCAAACGCTCTCAGAGAAGGTACAAGGGTTTCAGGAGAGGGAAAGACAGAGATGCATATTACTAACTCTCCACTGCTGGGTCATGTCCAAACAGCGGGGCTGAGCCTGCACCTGGGCGGCGTGGTCTTCAGGGCCTGGGCCAGCTGGCCGGGTGGCTGTGCCGTCGGTGTCGACTGCATCTGCTGCTGCAAGTGGGCGAGCTGCTGCTGCAGTGGCGGCTGGGTGCTGGGGGAACTGGTGCAGGTGGGCCTGTGGTGCCTGGAATGGGTACAGCGGGGGTGGAGAGTAGGGCTGCTGCACCAGGTGCCACTGCTGGAACTGTAGGAGCTGCTGGGCCTGCAATTGCAGGATGGGGTGCGGGGCTGGGGCTGGCTCCAGGGCCACCTTCACCTGGCTGAGCAGCACCATGCTCAAGGGGCCCTGCTGGTCTTGGTCACCTGCTGCTCCAGCGTCTTCATTGGCACCGAGAGGGACTACAGGACATGGAAGCAGAGATCAGGCAAGGTCATGTCAATAGCTGCTGCCCTCCACTCACAGGCCCCTCAGAGAGCAGAGCAGCACACCCTACATGCCGTGGGCTAACTCTCAACAGCAGGAGGTTTCAGACACACCCACGGTCCCCCCATGTGCATACACACTGCCAGCTCACTGAGGTGAACATACTCATACTTGAGACCTCTTCACCAAAATGTGAAATGGGGTAAGTAAAATGGAAGAGACTACTGAATGGACATGGGCAGATATACACCCTGGAGTGGCTGACTCACTCCAGAGCAGAAGGACTGGAGTGGGAGATGTATGCTGTTCTGTCCCGCTGACCCCCACAGTCCTGCTGTGAGCCCAATGCCCCACCATGCCCCGCCTCCCCTGGGCCATATAGCCTGCCCAAGTGTCCCTCCCACAGGTGCCGTTTCCCAACAAAGGGTCCAGAGGATGCCAAGACCCCACCTGAATAAAGGCACAGGACTCTGCAATGGTGGACAGCAGCCACCAGTCATCCCATCTGTGGCCACCCTGCTCCACCACACACACAAGGGACAGGAGAGACCCAGCCCCAGGGCTGTGCATGCAGGTAGCCTTCCCCAGGTCAGAGGCCCGTGCACAGCTGTCCATTCCCTGTCCTCAGGGTGAGGCAGGGCCCTGCACACACACTGGACAGAAGACCACAGGCTAGAGCTCACGCCGGCCACAGTCAAGAGTATGTGAACCAAGAACTTCCAGACGTTCAAGGTGAAGGCAGAGGAAGCAGACATCAAACTTCCAACATCCACTGGATCATAGAAAAAGCAAAAGAATTCCAGAAAAAACCATCTACTTCTATTTTACTGACTATGCCAAAGATACTGACTGTGTGGATCGCAACAAACTGTGGACAATTCTCAAAGGGATGGGAACACCAGACCACTGTACCTGCCTCCTGAGAAATCTATATGTAGGTCAAGAAGCAACAGTTAGAACTGGACATGGAACAACAGACTGGTTCCAAACTGAGAAAGGAGTATGTCAAGGCTGTAAATTGTCACACTGCTTACTTAACTTATATGCAGAGTACATCATGTGAAATGCTGGGCAGGATGACTCAAAATGTGAAATCAAAATTGCTGGGAAAATATCAATAACCTTAGATATGTAGATGGACACCACTCTGATGGCAGAAAGCAAAGAACTAAAGAGCCTCTTCATGAAAGTGAAACAAGAGAGTGAAAAAGTTGACTTCAAACTCAACATTCAAAAAACTGAGATCATGGCATTCGATCCCATCACTTCATGGCAAATAGATGGGGAAACAACAGAAGCAGTGAGAGAGTATTTTCTTGGGCTCCAAAATCATTGCAGATGGTGACTGCAGCCATGAAATTAAAAGATGCTTACTCCTTGGAAGAAAAGCTATAACTAACATACACAGCGTATTAAAAAGCAAAGACATTATTTTACAGACAAAGATCTGTAAAGTCAAAGCTATGATTTTTCCACTAGTCATGTATGGATGTGCATGTTAGACTATAAAGCAAGCTAAGCATTGAAGAATTGTTGCTTTTGTACTGTGGTGTTGGAGAAGACTCTTGAGAGTCCCTTGGGCTGCAAAGAGTTCCATCTAGTCCATCCTATAGAAAATCAGTCCTGAATATTCGTTGGAAGGACTGATGTTGAAACTGAAACTTCAATACTTTGGCCACCTGATACAAATAAGTGACTCATCTGAAAAGACCCTGATACTGGAAAGACTGAAGGAGGGCACAGTAGGGGCTGACAGAGGATGAGAAGGTTGGATGGCATCACAGACTCAATGGACATGATTTGAGTAAACTCCGGGAGCTGGTGATGGACAGGGAGTCCTTGGAGTGCTGCAGTCCATGGGGTCGCAAAGAGTAGGACATGACTGAGTGACTGAAATGAACTGAACTGATCTCCCTCCCCACAATACAACTGAATAAGCAAGCCTAAATAAGTGACCACATTTGCCCCCTTGTGTCAAGGTGGAAATTAGACATTGAATAGACTTGCAAACAGAGGAAGCCAAAGCAAACAAAGAGGGAACCGCTCTGGAAGTGACAGGTGCAACAGATTAAAACCCTGCAGTTAGGACTGACTATGCAGAAGTGAGGCCATGAGGAGCTACCCCTTGCCCAAAGTCAGGGGTAGTGACTGAGAGCACCAGGCTGTGACAGCGCAGGAGCAGTAGCTGAGAGGAGCTTCCCCATGCCCGAGGTCAGGGGTGGCGGCCGAGAGGAGCTACCCCACCCCGGAGGTCAGGGGCCCTGCCCGAGAGGAGCTACCCCATCTCCAAGGAGCGGCTGCTGCACACGCGCAGGAGGGCCAAGAGGAGCTACTCCATCTTCAAGGTCAGGAGGGGTGGCCTTCAGAAGACACCCCTCCTCCAAGGTAAGGAGCAGCGGCTGCACTTTGCTCAAGCAGCCGTGAACAAATACTCCACGCCCAAGGTAAGAGAAACCCAAGTAAGATGGTAGATGTTGTGAGAGGGCATCAGAGGGCAGACACACTAAAACCAAAGTCACAGAAAAATAGGCAATCTGATCACAGGACCACAGTCGTGTCTAACTCAATGAAAATAAGCCATGCTGTGTGGGGCCACCCAAGACAGTCAGGTCATGGTGCAGAGGTCTGACAGAATGTGGTCCACTGGAAAAGGGAATGACAAACCACTTCAGTATTCTTGCCTTGAGAACCCCATGAACAGTATGAGAAGGCAAAATGATAGGATACTGAAAGAGGAACTCCCCAGGTCGGTAGGTGCCCAGTATGCTACTGGAGATCAGTGGAGAAATAACTCCAGAAAGAATGAAGGGATGGAGCCAAAGCAAAAACAATGCCCAGTTGTGGATAGGACTGGTGATAGAAGCAAGGTCCAATGCTGTAAAGAGCAATACTGCATAGGAACCTGGAATGTTAGGTCCATGAATCAAGGGAAATTGGAAGTGGTCAAGCAGGAGATGGCCAGAGTGAATGTCGACATTCTAGGAATCAATGAACTAAAACGGACTGGAATGGGTGAATTTAACTCAGATGACCATTATATCTACTACTGTGGGCAGGAATCTCTTAGAAGAAATGGAGTAGCCATCATGGTCAACAAAAGAGTCCAAAATTCAGTTCTTGGATGCAATCTCAAAAATGACAGAATGACCTCTGTTCATTTCCAAGGCAACTCATTCAATATCTCAGTAATCCAAGCCTATGCCCCAACCAGTAATGCTGAAGAAGCAGAAGTTGAACAGTTCTATGAAGATCTACAAGACCTTTTAGAATTAACACCCAATAAAGATTTCCTTTATTATAGGGGAATGGAATGCAAAAGTAGGAAGTCAAGATACACCTGGAGTAACAAGCAAATTTGGCTTTGGAGTATGGAATGAAGCAGGGCAAATGCTAATAGAGTTTTGCCAAGAGAACACACTGGTCATAGCAAACACCCTCTTCCAACAACACAAGAGAAGACTCTACACATGGACATCACCAGATGGTCAACACCGAAATCAGATTGATTATATTCTTTGCAGCCAAAGATGGAGAAGCTCTATACAGTTAGCAAAAACAAAACCAGGAGCTGACTGTGGCTCAGATCGTGAACTCCTTATGGCCAAATTCAGACTTAAACTGAAGAAAGTAAGGATAACCACTAGACCATTCAGGTATGACCTAAATCAAATCCCTTAGGACTATACAGTGAAAGTGAGAAATAGACTTAAAGGACGAGATCTGATAGACAGAGAGCCTAATGAACTATGGATGGATGTTCATGACGTACAGGAGACAGGGATCAAAACCATCCCTGTGGAAAAGAAATGCAAAAAGGCAAAATGGTTGTCTGAGGAGGCCTTACAAATAGCTGTGAAATGAAGAGAAGTGAAAAGCAAAGGAAAAAATGAAAGATATTCCCATTTGAATGCAGAGTTCAAAAGAATAGCCAGGAGAGATAAGAAAGCCTTCCTCAGCTATCAATGCAAAGAAATAGAGGAAAACAATAGAATGGGGAAGACTAGAGATCTCTTCAAGAAAATTAGAGATAGCCA